TACACAAGTCATCTTGAAGTACGACCTTCCCTTGTCGCACCTGGTAGATGACTTCTTTGGCAAACTAAAAGGCTCTACCAAGGGTTATGCATCACTAGACTACGAAGATGCAGGATTCCGTAGGTCATCGATTACGAAGCTCAATCTTCTTGTCAACGGCTCCCCAGTTGATGCCGTTTCGCGTGTCCTGCACACATCACAAGTCGACAAGGTAGGACGTGTATGGGTGGAGAAGTTCAAGGAACACGTCGAGCGGCAGATGTTTGAAGTCATCATACAGGCGGCCGCGGGGAGAAGGATTGTGGCTAGAGCTACTATCAAGCCTTATCGCAAGGACGTGTTGGCCAAGCTGCATGCAAGTGACCTCAGCAGACGGCGCAAACTACTTGAAAAGCAGAAAGAGGGCAGGAAGAAGCTCCGGGCTGTAGGAAATGTTGTGATTGACCAGGAAGCGTTTCAGAAGTTTTTGGCCAAGTAGTGAATCGATACCCCACTCTATGTATTCCCACCCTGAAGCTGTCCCCATACGCAGACGCACTTTCTTTTCTGACCCGAAGCATGTCAGCAGTCAGGGATATCCGTAGCCAGTCGATCATGGATTCCCGCCAATAACTACAGCTGCCGAATGTTTGACCGAAATCTGGCCGATCTCCTAATATGACAACGATTGTGTCCAGCACCTACCTTGTATACTGGACAAGGGACGATTAACATGCCGGAGTCCGGTGCATCTTGCCAGCCTATCAACAGCACGGCCTTTTTTTTCTAGTACACATGCGTATATTTGTTTTTCAGAGATGCAGAACAAGCCACGTCTATCTTGGAACACGTCTTACTTACTCACGCATGCTCGTCGTGTTCATTTTCAGCTTTCGTTATTGCTGTCCAAAAGCTATAGTCAAAATACGCATTTCCGAGAACCCATGGCCCCAACACTCGATCTCGACGCTTGATCGACGCTAGCATGTCCATGACATCAGCTGGCCATCGAGATCGCATCTGTCAGATATTCTGAAGCAACCACTAAGGATACAACTCGGCTTCGCGTACCTGACAGCTGCAAGATTAGGCGGGTTGTGGCGTGTTCTTAGGTCGCTTCCTAGTCTATAGCTGGATAGGCTTTACGCTAATATCTGTCATCTACAAGGTTTCTACGGTACGCTTGCGCTAGATTCACGGTCTGAAGGCACGCCCAGCTGAGAGATCTCGGTATGTAAGTGTAAGAGGAAATATTCTTGGCCGAACACCAGTACGGCATCGCGAACTGGATAATATCTCGTCTTTCAATGAGCCGTGTGTACACTTCCTTTGAGGCTTCTTGTTGATTCAAACCTGATTCTCTGTCAACAGCCACACTTGTGTTACATTCCTGAATAGTTTGGGGTGTATGTAGCGGGTCGCGGGAACACTGCCTGATCCCCTCGGCGGTTAGTGTCATGAACGAATGGCCACTGGGGATGCCTGCATTAGCTGAACGGAACGCTTCCAGCCATTCTACAAAATATGACGTTTTATTAATGGCCAGAAGCCGCGACGGCTGGGCGACATGACCCGGTTCCAAAGGCTTTGAAAATACTAGAAGCACTCCGTCGCAACGCCTGTGCCGGCGAGCGTACGCGGCACAGCTCGTTGTCCCATACATTTGATAGCCCGCTGGATTGTCCTCGCCTTGACTCCATTGACACTGTTTGGAAGACCTCAAACACAATGGCACAATTCTTAGGACTCCGGGGTAAGAGTCTAGCGACTACCATTAGTGTAACTTGTGGTTTTTGCTTTTTGTACGTCGACATGCCGTTCCTGGATCATTGCGCATATGGTTCGTCAATTAATGTGATACAGGTGCTTCGGATATGCTCAGGGTGTGATGGGCGGTCTGTTGACCGTTGAGCAATTCCTTGGTCGATTTCCGCAGCTTGACATTGTCAACGATGTTTCATTCCACGATGCATGGGTCACTGGTACGTTCAAATGTTAAGTCCGAATATCCACATCAAATCTCAGTGTACATGTGGCGATACCTTACAAGGCTGACTTTTGTAGGCCTCACGGTCGGAACATGGCATCTGGGCTGCATCGTGTCGGCCATTGCAACCATTTTCGTCGGTGACTTGCTTGGGCGTCGACGGACACTCATCCTGGGTTTGACATTCTGGGTGATTGGCGAGATCATTCAGACATCGTCGTACAGCTTTGCGCAATTCATCGTTGGTCGCGCAGTCGCTGGTTTCGGTCAGCAACCTTACTGTCTTCCCGGTAATGAGTACTAACGTTCTGTGTAGGCAATGGATTTACCACAGCCACCGCACCAGCATACCAAGCAGAATGCGTCAAGTCCCATCGCAAAGGAACAATCCTCATGATCAGCGCTGGCGCCTTCGTATCTGCCGGTATCGCATTGTCGTACTGGTTCGTCTTCGGTTTCGCCTACATCGACAGCTCTTCAACATCATGGCGCGTTCCAATCGCTCTACAAATCGTGTTTGCGCTACCAGCTATCGCAATGCTATTTGTGTTGCCCGAGTCCCCTCGTTGGCTGATATTGACTGGACGCGAACAAGAAGCACTCACCATATTGGCCGCCCTGAATGACGACGATCCAGATAGCTTCGAGACCAAAGACGAGTTTCTGCAGATCAAGGATGCGATCCTGCTCATGGCACAAGGTTCAAGTGTGGGCATGTTCTCTAACAAAGAACGGCGAGGCTTTCATCGCGTTGTATTGGCTTACTCTGTCCAAGTGTTCCAGCAAGGCACAGGCATCAACTTGGTCTTGCAATACCTTTCTTGGATCTTCCTTACCCGCATGTCATACACTGGGTGGCTTGCCCGGCTCTTGGCATCCTGCTCAGCGACTCTGTACTTCCTCGCCTCGTTCATCGTCGTAGTCGGAATCGATCGCTTCTGGGGCCGTCGCTCTCTGATGATGTTTGGAGCTACGGGTATGTCGACTTGCATGGTTCTCATCACCATCTTGCAATACTTGTGGTCCGAGAAGGCGATGCAGGAAGCAAGAATCGCTAGCACTGTGTTTCTGTTCATCTTTTCGGTCTTCTTTGCTATTGGCTGGCAGGGTATGGCATGGCTGTACCAGGTCGAGATTGTTCCTTTGAGAATCCGTGGTCCGGCTAACGGCCTCTCGACAAGTGCCAACTGGCTGCTCAACTTTGTGTATGATGTTCCTCGATTGCTTCCACTCGTTTACACTTTGGCTAATATCATCATAGGGTCGTTTTCATCACACCAATCGCATTCCAGCGCATCTCTTATCGAACTTGGATCATCTTTGCTGTCACAAACTTTGCCATCATCCCTCTCGTATACTTTTTCTACCCAGAAACGGCATTCCGATCTCTTGAAGAAGTCGATGTTATTTTCCAACTCGCAGACGACGCCCCAGGCAACCCATGGCTCAATGCCGTCAAGATCTCAAAAGACGAACCTCTTTGGTTCGGAAAGCAAGACCCAGAAAAACGTCTCAACTTCAACTACGCAAGCACCTCCTGGCACAAACGCCTGATCGAGACCGCAAGCAGCGGAAAGTCTAGTAGTCGAGGTGGCACTGCCCATCAATACGACGAAAAGAAACAAATGCACAACCACCACCATCCCTACCCTCAAGCCATACTCACCCCCAACCCACCCCGCGGCCGCCAATTCTCCTCTAGCTCCAGCACCCACCCCTACACCTACCACAGCCCAAGCCCCTCCACTCTGACAAAAACCCACACCAGCGACCCCGAGCATCCCCCTTCCCGCAAAAAACTCCAGAAAAGAAACAGCACAACAAGCACTACAAGCACCGCCTCCCACGCTCGTCCTTCCTCCTCCCTCCTCTTCCCCTCCCACACCACCGCTTTCTACCCCGACGAAGATGCCGCCCCCGCCCCCAGCGTACCTCGAAGCCGGAGCACCAGCCGCGCAAGCAACAGCGCCCTCTCACACTCGCATTCCCATTCCCATTCCCACTCCCAGTCACAGTCCCAACCAAATTACATCTCACGCTCAACCCGCACCTCCGACATCAGCATCTCAAACAATATCCTCAACCGCATCATCAACCCAGACCTCCTATCCCACGCTTCAGACTCCGATTCGTCGTACGAGCGCGGTGCAGATCGTCGCGAGGCGGATGAAGTGACAGAGGAGGGTCTAGCGTACCCGGGCTTGCTACTGGGTGAGGAGCGCAGGGTGCAGAGGGAGCGTGAGACGGATTTACCGGATGGGGTGTATGAAGTTGTGCAGGGACGGGTGAGGCGGGTTAGTAGTGGTGGGAATGGGGTGGGGAGGCCGGAGAGTAGGGGGAGGTGGGTTGCTAGGGATGCGGGGAGGGCTTGGTGAGAGTTGAGCTGGAGGGGGTTTTTTTTCGGGTTTCTTTGTGGTAAATGGAGATGTCGTGGTTTTCTTGTATGGATGAGTTTAGTGATACGCCGGTATGCTCTTCTCTTCCCTTTTAAACAGTTCATGGCTTTTTTTGCTCGTAGAGTATACATTCACTTATCCATTTCACACAAGCAAGCAAGCAAATCCCAAAGGCCCCAAACAATTTTTCATAATCGACATAATTTGGCATTCCTATCATGAATATTCTCTTCCTTCGTCATCATATTCTCAACGTTAAATACAAAGTTATACTGTATGTTGTGTCCTCTTGCGAGTCATCTCTGGTGATCTAAATATAAACGAAGAAAAGAAAAAGAAAAGAAGAAAGAAGTAGAAGGGAAAAAAAAGGAAACGGTACAAAGTACTATTACATATGTTCCGCCTTCCTCTCACACCGGACGCCAAACATCCCGTCCTAGACTCCTGCGATGAAAACAAAAAAACAGCAAACACCTGTTTGTAAATGATTATTCCTTTTCGGTCGCTAATAGAGAAAGCAAGATGCTGTAAACTCCCCCAACCGAATAACGCCTTTGACCCAGATTCGTAAAGGAATTTTTCTCATCTTATTCTTTGTCAGTGTGTCGTCGTTATCGTCTCAGTCTCATCAATGAGAACTAAGCAATTCTCTTCTTGAGCCCTCCAAACAATCCCTTGAGACCGCTCGACTCTTCCTTCTTTCTTCTGTCACGGCGCTCATTCTCGCCTCTCTTTACACGTGGGCGGTCATCTCCGCGGTCGCGAGTTCGTGGCCGGTCGGCCTCGGGGCGACGACCAGAAGGGCGCTCCTTCTCAGTGACGGAGATGCGGCGTGCCTTGGGACGTTCTTCTGGCTTGGACATGCGCCGACTTCGACGACGTTCGCGTCGTTCCTCGTCCGAGTAAGAGGCTACGCCAACCACTGCAGCTGCATCCTCGATGATAGGTGATTCCGCATCATCGATTGCCTCATCGTCGAGGTCGTATTCAAAAGGTTTAGGTGGGGGCGGAGGAAGGTCAACAATTGGCGATGCAAAAGTAACTCCAAATTCCCTACCACCAGACACTTCGTGTTCTGGACGGCGCATATAACGCCGTTCTTCTTTCCACCTGTAGTACTCGGCCTCTTCTTCAGGTGATCCGAATTGGCGGCGCTGGTGTGAATAACGTCGACTACGATGTGCGCGTTCGCCTCGGTCTCGGCTCTCATTGTTGGATGAGATGTCCCTGCTCGGAGAACTCTCTGGCTCGAATTCTCTCCTTGGAACTTTGACGGGACCATCTAACGTGTTTGCACGCGCGCGGGTTGACCGGGTGGGTTTTAGTACAGGTGGAGCAGCTTCCGTCTTCGAGCGACCAAAGATACCTCCAAAAATACCACCACGCTTTCCACTTGGTGGAGTGTCTCGGATGCTCAGTCGTCTTCGTGGTGGTGCACTGCGTGGCGTCTCGTCAACGACAGGTGGTAGAGGAGGGGGTGGCAGTTGCTCATCATAGTCCTCTGCAGCACGTCGAGCAGTGTCGCGGGGTGGCTCGATGAGATCTTCTTGAAGCGCTGCTGCTAGTTTAGCTGCTTCCCGCTCCGCCCTCTTCTGTCGTCGAACTCTCTTGGCCTCTTCGTCATCACGTGCAGCCTGTTCCAATTTCTCCAGCTCCAAACGTTTCGCTTCCTTCTCGGCTTCGTGCCTTTGTCGTCTTTTTTCGTGTCGAATTCGTCGTTCCTCGTCTTCAATGGCCTGTCTTTTCTCTTCTTTAAGCCTTCGACGTTCCTCCTGAGCTCTGATGTATTCTTCCTCTGCTCGCTTTGCTGCACGGCGTCGTTCACGATGCTCCAGTTTTCTAGCTTCTTCTTCAGCTTTGAGCCGAGCAGCATCCGCAGCAGCAAGTCGTTCTTTTTCAGCCCTCCGAGCTTCACGTCGCCTGAGTTTCTCGGCTTCATCTTCCTTCTCCTCAACGGGGCGACGTTTAGGGTGTCTCTCGTCGCTCCTACTATCGCGGCGGTGGGGCCGATACTCTGGATAGGCTTTCTCTCTGTCGCTACTGCTACTGGTTCTCTCAGCCTCACGTAGTCTTTCCCTTCTCCGCTCAGCTTCGCGTTCGTTCATGCTGTCGCGACGCTTGGTCTTTGGCATACTGGAAGGGTCTGGTACAGCCATGATCGGGCGCTCCCTGTAACTAGCATCACTTTCACGCCTACGACTCGAGTGATGGTAGCCGTCACGATGAGCATGCGAGTGCCTCCGACGTGTCTTCTCGCGGACAGGAGGCTCCGCTGAAAGTTCATCGTCAATTGCGATGTCACGCTCTCTGTAATCATCAACAGGAATAGGCGGTGGTGGTCGAGTGGGACTTTGGCTGAAGTCGAAGGACCTGTCTACAGGGGCAATATTCTCCGTGGTTCCTTCATTGGCTACCCCCCCTACCAATACAACCGGGTCAATCTGTGGTTCAGGCTCTGGTTCGGGCTCTGGCTCTGGCTCTGCGGGCGGCTCGGGTGCTGGCTCCACCGGTGGTTCAGGCTCAGGCTCCACTGGTGGCTCGGGTTCTGGCTCTATTGGTGGCTCTGATATAACCTCCACTAGAGGTTCGGGTTCGAGTTCCACTGGGGGCTCAGGCTCGGGATCCGCTGGTGGTTTTGGCTCAGGCTCCGCTGGCGGTTCAGATGCGGGCTCCGCCGGTGGCTCAGGCTCAGGCTCCACAGCTGGCTCGGGTTCTGGCTCCACAGCTGGCTCAGGCACAGGGTCTGGCTCAGCCTCTGGTTCTGGCACAGGTTCTGGCACCGCTTCTGGCTCTACCTCTGGTTCTGCCTCTGCTTCGATAGGCGCGGGTTCCTCGGCTTCTGGCTCGGGTGCCGGTGCAGGTTCTGGCTCCTCTGGTGGAGCAGGATCCTCTGCAAGTACAGACTCGGTTGCAGCCTCTGACTGTGATTCTTCTTCGACTTCTACCTCGGACACTGTGGGAGACTCTTCTTCTTCAGGCTCGGCTTCTGCTGGAATTTCGACTGGTTCAGCGATTGGTTCAGCTACTGATTCCGCGACCGATTCAGCGACCGATTCAGCAACTGGCTCAGCAACTGGTTCAACGACCGATTCAACGACAGGCTCAACGACCGATTCAGCGACTGGCTCATCGACTGGCTCATCGACTGGCTCATCGACTGGCTCATCGACCGGCTCATCGACCGGCTCATCGACCGGCTCATCGACTGGCTCTGCGACTGGCTCTGCGACTGGCTCTGCGACTGGCTCTGCGACTGGCTCTGCGACTGATTCCGCGACTGATTCCGCGACTGATTCCGCGACTGATTCCACAACCGATTCAGCAACTGGTTCAGCAACTGGTTCAGCGACTGGTTCAAC